GCAATGGGTCCATAGGACCCACGTCAGCCCCACAGCCACGATAGGTCACGAGGCCTACAGCAGCCCCACCGGGCACAGCACGGTCCCGCAGCTCTCCTCCTGCCGGGCCCTCTGCCTCCAGGCCCCGCTCCGCGGCCCGGCCCGGCGGTGCTGAGGTTCGGGCAGCGCAGCCCCCAATCCCGGCCCGCTCCCCCCTCACGGCCCCGCCCGCCGCTGCCGCTCACCGCCTGCGCGACCCGGCCGGGAAACCCGGAAGTGGCGGCCGTGCGTCCCTCCTCCTCGTGACGTCATCACGCAAAGGGGGCGGTACCGAGCGGGGAGGAGGCCACGCCCGCCGCGCGGGAATGGGGGCGGGGCCACGCGCTGAGTGACGTGCGGGGAACCTGCGTGATTGGGTGAGCGTGCAGGTGGGGGCGGGGCGGCAGGAGCGGGGGTACAGAGCTGGGTGTGCACGGACACACGTACATACATAGGTACACACGTACATATACAGATACATTCATAGGTACACACATACATACATACACACATACATACATACATGCACACATATACATACATACATACATACACACGTGTACATACACACATATACATACATACATACACACACACACACACATACATCCCCATACGTGGGCACACAGACCCACACATGTGCAGACCAACATTTGTATCCATACGTGCACACATAGACCCACATGTGTGTCCATATGTGCACACACACAAGCCACACGTGTAACCAAATGTCAACACACACAGACCCACACACATGCCCATGTGGGCACATTCACATCCACATATGTACCCATATGTGCACACACAGACCCACACGTGTCTATATGCGCACATGGACCCACGTATGTGCCCATATGTCTACATACACAGACCCACACATGTACCAAGATGCAGACACACACACACACTGCCCTACACATGTACCCTACACATGTACCCACATGTGCACACACACCCCCATATGTGCACACACATGTACCCACATGTGCACACACACCCCCATATGTGCACACACA